TGGACAGTTTGATCATGCTGACCGCCTTTTTAACAGTATAAAGGATACTTGGTTAAGTGCTGCTGGGAAAGGCAACACATCTGATGTTAAGGAACTGATTCCAGAATTCTTCTATTTGCCGGAATTTCTGGAGAACAGGTTCAATCTTGAGTTGGGCGAGAAACAGTCGGGGGAAAAGGTAAGTCTTAGCTATCCAAATCCTGGCATTCGACTCGTCTTTTTTGAAAACATTATCTACTTCGTTGGAACCTTGTTAACCTCGTACTTGTGTGTTTTCAGGTTGGTGATGTTGTTTTACCTCCATGGGCCAAAGGCAGTGCTAGAGAGTTCATCAAGAAGCACAGGGAAGCTCTGGAGTCTGATTATGTTTCTGAAAACTTGCACCACTGGATTGACCTAATCTTTGGGTGTAAACAGAGGGGGAAGGTAAGGGGTACTCAAATACTGTAGTTGATATCTAACTTCTCTCACCATATTCATTATAATTATAAGTTATTAAAAAAGAGGAAACAGAAAGACCATAAGGATCACATCTTACACTGTACTTCTATTTCTTCCTTCCAAACACTACCTTATACAGGCATATCTAATCCCCCGACTTGTTCGGCAGGCTGCTGAAGAAGCTGTAAATGTTTTCTATCATTACACTTATGAAGGCAGTGTAGATATTGACTCAGTAACCGATCCAGCAATGAAAGCTTCAATTCTTGCACAAATCAATCACTTTGGCCAGACGCCAAAACAACTGTTCCTCAAACCCCATGTGAAAAGGCGAGCCGACCGAAAACCCCCCCCACACCCGCTAAAGCATTCTTTGCATCTTGTCCCACATGAGATCCGTAAGACCGCATCTTCCATTTCTCAGATTGTCACTGTCAATGACAAAATCCTTGTGGCCGGCAAAAGCACCTTCTTGAAACCCAGGACGTATGCCAAGTACGTCTCATGGGGATTCCCTGACCGCAGCTTGAGGTTCATGAGCTATGACCAAGACAGGCTTCTTTCCACGCATGAAAACCTCCACGGCGGCTACCAAATACAGTGTGTCGGGGCTAGCCTTGACGGCCGGCTTTTGGCCACTGGAGGTGATGATGGGTTGGTTTGCATTTGGAGAGTGTGCAAAGACGGCGGGCCCCGTGCCCTAAGACGACTTCATCTTGAGAAGGCCCTTTGTGCACACACGAGCAGAATCACGTGCCTTCACGTTAGCCAGCCTTACATGATGATAGTGAGTGGGTCCGACGATTGTACCGTCATAGTGTGGGATCTTAGCTCCATGGCTTTCGTCAAGCAGCTTCCCGAGTTTCCCTCCCCCGTTTCTGCAATTTTTGTGAACGACTTGACTGGGGAAATTGCAACCGCCGCCGGAACACTGCTGGCCGTATGGAGCATCAACGGGGACTGCCTTGCTGTCGTCAACGCATCACAACTTCCCTCTGACTCTATTCTCTCTCTTTCGGGCAGTATGAGTTCTGACTGGAATGAAACTAACTGGTATGTCTCCGGCCACCAGAGCGGGGCAATAAAGGTGTGGAAAATGGTACACTGCTCAAGCAAGGAGTGTAGTCAGGGCAGTGGTGGGAACCCGGGGGCAGCGGCGGCGGGCTTAAAGCTTGCCGGGGACGAAAAATCTCAACCAGAGTACAGATTAATACTCCACAAGGTGTTGAAGTGCCATAAGCATGCCGTCACAGCTCTCCACCTCACCCTTGATCTGAAACAGTTGCTGAGTGGGGATTCCGCCGGGCACCTCCACTCCTGGACACTGCTGGAAGAGAGGCTGAAAGCCGTCGCCAACCAGGGATAATTTTGGGATCTCCCTGCACCTGAGTTCTCTCTTCTTTCTTGTTTTTGTTGACTTTATAATGGCGGGGGGAAGTGGTCAAAGAGTGGGAGGACTTGAGGCTGATGATTGTTGTGCATATAACATATATATATATATATATATATATATATATATATATATATATATATATATATATATATATATATATATATATATATATATATATATATAGTAAAACAACAGAAGGCGCCCCATGTGTATAGTAATGAGGTTTGTATAGGCTCTTTTTTTTTGGTCTTCTATTTGGTTAGTGTTTCCCAGGTTTAGGGCATGTTGTATAAGTGGCTGAGTCCTTCGGACACTCAATTTAATTTGTCAAAGTGTCATTAATTGTTGATTGATTCTGGGAAATGCTAATTTGAACTGCTCTTTTTGCCCAACAGATTTTTTTTATATAAAGAAAATATACATTTATAGAATACCGTTTACTGGTTTGAGGACATCGAGCGAGCTACGGGGTTGATCTACTGAATGAATGGCTGATTTAAGTTCATTCTTGATCCTCGAACTTGTTCTTCTGTGGGCGGGATACTCGTATCCATCCACATCGAACACGTCCATTCTTGATCCTTGACGTGTCCTTTCATGGGACGGATACCCATTCATAGGGTATCCATCCGCATGATATTGGCGTGTATTCTCGTCCCAATTTTGTACGATACTTGTGTATTGATATTATTCGTTATGGGCGTAGCATCACAAATTTAATTTCTGAAATATTCCAAAAGGCCTCGTACTAATTACTGCATAATTACGAAATATGCTTTACACAAAATTGATGCTACACAACAAAATTGTTTTGATGTCGATGGGAAACGTTTGAACGTATGTAGAGTAATTGATAAATATTCACCATCTAAAAAAGGATGACACCCCATTCTTGAGGGTCTCTCAGCAATGGCCGGACAGTTAACTGAGAGAAGATAAATTGAACTATAATCTTAGTCAGTTGACATTAAAGTAGGATTTCGTGTCTGGTACTTGCAGAAGTCCCATTCTTTGCATAGTTGCATTGAGATATAATTTCAGTCACTTCAACATACTGGGATGGGTTCCTCTTCTACTTTTTCTCGTGGGATGAGTTTGCACCCTACCCTAGGCCAACTCAAATATGACATATCACATGTTGAAGGTTCATTTTGATAAATATAGCATATCTTAGTTCTAATTATATATTCCTCTAAATTACAACTTCATCCCATTTTAAGTTATGTTTGATTGAAATTATTTTCAAATGAATATATATGAAAATTAGAATAGAATTCAAAAATAAAATTTATATATTTTAAAAGCTACGGAGTACATCAAGGTAGTGTTTGGCAACTAGGATTTCATTTCAATTCATGTATTTCAATTCCAAAATTTGAAATCTTGAATTTCAAATTACAAGGGGAGGCGCATGGATTTAAAATTAAGTTTTGTTATGAATGAGTAGAATTTGATTCAAATCCAAATTCAAAATTTGTGAGTTTCCCAAACATGGAATTTGAGCCAAATTCGAATTTGAAATCCAAATCCATGTTCCCAAACATATCGCAAAAGTTTTACTGCACACATAACAAGAGGTAACATGACTATTATTTTTTCAAATTTTAACGGAAATATATAAATAAAGTATTGGAATATGTTTGTACATGTCTCATCTTAATTTGTTTCCTTGTAGAAGTAGGACTCCATATATGTTTCCTAATATGTTTTGGAAACTATTGTTGTATATATACACATGTAGATTGTATCCACAAACAAGTCATTCAATTCTAAAATTCTACATGGTATCAAAGCGATTCTTGGGACAACCCTAAGACTACCGCACCCATACACGTCCATCTGGCCGCCGCTCGTTCCAATCGCCGCCGTTCGTCCGCCGCTGACATCTCAGCAGCCACCCATCACCAACACCATGACAACCGAAACAACCAAGAAGACATGGTTAATTCATGATCCATCCACGATTTATTATCTTCATCCGTCAGAACACGCTGGAAACGCCTTGACCAAATACCTACTCAAAAGTGATAATTATGAGGTTTGGGAAAAAGCCATACGTAATGCTCTAGGAGGACGGGGCAAGGCTATTTTCATGATACCTGATGGCGTTCCCAAACCCAAAGATGAACGAGAACTCGCCGCTTGGGAATCTAACAACTCTATCATATGTAGCTGGATTTTCAACAGTGTGGATGAGTCTATTCAACCGAGCATCGTCTCGCACTCCGTTGCGTCCGTTTTGTGGTCAGATCTGAAAAAGAGGTACAGTACCTCGAATGGCCCTCGTATTTACCAATTAAAAACAGAATTGAACGCGCTACGGCAAAAAGGGCAAACCGTGGTTGCATATTACAATCAATTCAT